CCGCTGAATTTTGAAATTCCTGAGGAGGTATGGACAGGTAAGGAGATAACTCTCTCACATATGAAATCTTTTGGTTGTGTTGCTTATGTGCATGCAAATTCTAATGATAGAGATAAGCTTGATCCTAAGGCCAAGAAATGTTTCTTTATTGGCTATGGTGATGATAATTTTGGTTATCGATTTTGGGATGATCAGAATAGAAAGATCCTAAGACACAAGAATGTCACATTTAATAAAAATGTGATGTACAAAGACAAGCTTGAAGTAGAACCAACCAACACCAGTAGACAGACATCTGAAACAGTTGAGTTAGAAGAAATCTCAGAAAATGAAGTGGCTAGAGAGACTATAACTGGATCTGAAATTGAAGATGTCGAACCAGAAGCAGAATCTGGATCAGAATCAGAACCAGAACCAAAGATAGAATCAGATGGAGAACCAGATGTGGATTCAGGACTTGAATCAAATTCGGGATCAGTTAATCCTGAACCTACATTAAGGAGATCTAAAAGAGTCACGAATGCTCCAGATAGGTTAACTCTCTCTCTCTCCACTATTTACTTCTGACTGATGTTGGAGAACCAGAGCATTTTGTTGAAGCAATGCAGGTGATAAGCTCTGATAAGTGGAAGCTAGCCATGAAAGAAAAGATGAATTCTGTTCAAAAGAATAAAACATGGATACTTATAGAGTTATCAAAAGGAAAGAAGGCATTACAATACAAGTGGGTGTACAGGGTCAAGGAAAAGCATGATGGTAAGAAGAGATACAAAGCACGACTAGTAGTAAAAGGCTTTTAGCAGAAGGAAGGGATTGACTACACTGAGATCTTCTCTCATGTAGTCAAATTAACTACTATCAGGTTGGTGCTAAGTATCTTAGCTGCAGAAAATTTGCATTTGGAGTAGCTAGATGTTAAAACTGCTTTCTTGTATGGTGACCTTGAAAAAGACATCTACATGAATCAATATGAAGGTTTTCAGTTTCTGGTAAAGAAAACCTTGTGTGTAAGTTGAAGAAGAGTTTGTATGGTTTGAGACAAGCTCCCCGACAATGGTACAAGAAATTTGATGGATTCATGCATAACAATGGTTTCACACGATGTGCGATGAACCATTGTTGTTATATCAAAAATCTTGATAAATCCTATATCATTTTACTGTTGTACGTTGATGATATGCTAATTGTAGGATCTACAATAAATGAGATCAATAGGGTTAAGCAACAACTGGCAGAGGAGTTTGAAATGAAAGACTTAGGACCAGCTAAGCAAATGCTTGGGATAAGGATTAGCAGAAACAGGTCTGAAGGAACCTTAAAATTGTCTCAAGAAAAGTACATACAAAAGGTACTAACCAGGTTCAGTCTTCATGATGCAAAGACCAGAAACACTCTTCTCCGAAGCCATCTTAATCTATCGAAGGACCAATCACCTAAGACAGATGAAGAAAGCAAGTACATGTCCAAAGTTTCATATGCTTCAGCAGTAGGAAGTTTGATGTATGTTATGGTTTGCACTAGACCTGACATAGCCCATGCAGTTGGAGTTGTCAGTAGATACATGTCAAATCCAAGAAAGGAGCATTGGGAATGTGTAAAATGAATATTGCGATATCTCAAAGGCACCTCAAGTATGTTACTGTGTTTTAAAATGAGCAATATTATCTTACAAGGTTTTGCTGATGCAAATTTAGGCGGCGATCTAGATAGTCGAAAAAGTACCACAGGCTACGTGTTCACCTTGGGTGGTATGGCTGTTAGCTGGATGTCCAGACTTCAGAAAAGTGTTGCTCTATCTACCATTGAAGTAGGGTACATAGCAATCTCAGAAGCTGGAAAAGAGATGATTTGGCTCAAGAATTTTCTAAAAGAGCTAGGTAAAGAGCAGGACAATTGTGAGCTTTTCAGCGATAGCTAGAGTGTAATTTATCTTGCCAAGAATTCAGTGTTTCATGCAAGATCGAAGCATATCCAGTTGAGGTATCATCATATCCGAGAGTTGATAAGTGAAAAAACTCTTTTCCTGCAGAAGATACGAGGATCGAAGAACCCGTCAGACATGTTGACCAAAGTTGTCGGTGTTGACAAACTGAGGTTGTGAACTGCCTCAGTTAGCCTTCAAGACCGATAGCGTGAAGGCGCCACCAGAGAATAGCAACAAAAAAAAATTTAATTTCTTTCTTGATGTAACATAGGTTTGAGGAGAAGATTGATAGTAGCAAACATGTTATTGTATGTGAAAGAAAGAAAATTAGACAAAAGGAAAGAAAGAAAAGTAAAAAAAAATGAGATGAACTTATGATGTAAGCGCTTACATCGGCATTCTTATGATGTATGTGCTTACATCGGCAATCCTATGATGTATGCGCTTATATCGGCACTCTTTTTATGTAAGCATTTACGTCGGCAGGGCATTCAAATGCTTATAAAAGGGGTATGCATTTTCATTTGCAAATCATCCCTTTGTGTAGCCATGGAATAGGCAAAAATTATCGAACCACATAAATTTTCTCGTCTTGTGAAATTTATTGTTTTTCTCTTTAAAATATTTTTTCCATTCTATTAGTCTTGACACGTTTCCCAACAGTTTTTCACCACCCCCATAAAAACATCACACCTGCTGTTGCTAAAATCCATCCTAAGGTTCCAAACACATCAAGTACCAAATTCTAATTCCATAACTCCTCTTCCAAAAATGATATTGAAAAGCTGCCTCCGAAACATAACAGAGTAATACACACATCTCATTTTAATTCTACTCTTTTTCTATAAACGTATAGAAGAGGAAAAACAAAAAAGAGTTAAACTAGACTCTCTACAAATTAGACATAGACCTACAATATGGAAAATAGTTACCCAACTCTGTGAATGCAGCAAAGTATGTTAATTTACAATAATTAAGTGATAAATTGAGGTAAAAATACAAATTAATTATCCGCGTAAACCAGTAAGTATTTTCTCATACAAATAAATAAACACAACCATGTCATGGAGAGAGACAGAGAGGAAGCTGACCATTTTGCGGAGAATGCGTTCGTGTTGAGAGAAAGGGTGGGCAAAGGCGATGAAAACGACGACATTAGAGGAGTCAGGTTGGAGAGAGCGCTTAAGGAAATGGCGGAGCACGAAAGCGGCGCTGGTCTCAACACAGTCCTCCACCACCACCACTCGCCCACGCTTTTGGGTCTTTACACTGCCAATGCCATCCTCCACTAGCGCTTCCTCCAGCAGGCTCGGACGCGAATTATCCATGTCTTGAGTCACAATCCCAGAGGGCCCAAATCAAATCAAGGTTTTTTTTTAGGGTTCTTGTACCCCCGTGAGACAAGAGAACAAGGGGTTTTAGTTAAGAGTAAGAGGGCGTTCGTCTCGGCGTATGTTTGGGATGAAAATTTCAATATTTGTTTGGTTGGTTGAAATATTTTAAATCTTTTTATCAAGAAGGGGGGAAAAATATTTTTCAAAACTCACTTTTAACCTTTCCACTCCCACCCTATGTCACGACTCAATTCCGCGTGATCACCACCCGGCGCACTATCTGACCCGAACGAACCAAATCATATGATGCACCGAAACCATATTATGAAAACCAATTTAATTTCGGAAGCTCTTTGAAAATCATATATATTTTCAAGTTAAATGATGGAATATTTTTCCAATTCAGCAATACATGAACCATCTCATAATCATAATAACGAGACAAAGTAAAAAATATGTTTTCATGTATGATCCCAGTGGCAATAGTATTAGTCTTGTAGTGTTATTTTCTTTTTCGTAGAGTTATATTCCTACTTGTTATTTCTTTCGCTTCACTTATTTTACTATATCGTTGTTGTTACTGTTTATTGATACTACTCCTTTTCATTTTGTCCTTGAGCCGAGGGTCTTTGGAAACAACCTCTCTAACTCCACTAGGTATGAGTAAGGTCTGCATACACACTACTCTCCTCGGACCGCACTTGTGAGAATATATTGGGTATGTTGTTGTCGTTAACACCAGGGTTCATTCTTAACACAATTGTGTCGTTCCAGAAATGTTGGCAGCTCAGGAGTCGTCTGTATTTTTTTAGAATTACAATTCCATAGAAGATACAGATGTGATTTAGCTGTATGGGTATCATTCACTATCTCCTGGCATATCCTGTGGAATTACTTCTGAAAGGTGCAAAATTCAAACTCTGGCATTATGCTTCTTACTGAACACATTTGAGTCCTCCTCTCTGAGAGTTGTTTCCTGAATCCGAAAGAGTGTAATTGTTTGGTTAGAAAGAGAAATATCTGCAGGATTTGAGTTGCTGGTAGCTCAACAGTTTGCTCCGAAAACATATAGCTACAGATCTGACTTAATTTCGTGACATATCAGTCAATATCCAAAGAACTGTGGAAGCAAAATTGTAAGCTTTGGAAAAGGTTTTCCAGTTTTAGAAGCGCAGAAATTGGACAGTAACAAAATGGGAAAAGGACTAAAGACACATGAAACGATTAACATCTTAATTATCAGAAGAAGACTTGCTCATAATGTAGTGGAAATAGAACATTATGAGCAGAGGTCCAAGAGCAGTAATCTTCTCAGGGAAAATGGTCATCACTTAAGTTGCTGCTGCACATGAGCTCCTATTTTCTCCACTAAGCGTGCTACGAAGGGTTATAAACATAAAGATAAAACACACACGCGCACAGTGTTGAAACTAGCATGCTGCTACGTTTTGCTCTTAATTTGCAATGCCATTGAGTCGGCAAATTGGGAATTTTTCCTGTTAAACTTGCTAATGTAAAACGACTGGTTTATGTAGGCTCTCACTGAGAAACAGTTTACTATCAGATCTTCTACCCAAGAAAAAACATTTCCTTGATATTTTCTTTTTACTGTCTTTAGGATTTGAATATCTCCTCAGTCCTGTAGTTGCTGTGTCCGCTTACTTCTAGCTACTATTCAAGCCAATTTCAAATCATGTTCCTACATTACGAAAGTGGAGTATCATGTTCCTGAAGAGATTGGCTTCCATTCTTTAGTTGTTTGCACCATTTCTCAAAATTACTGATGACAATTGACAAAGATCGTACATTACTTTTTCCTACACAGAAGACTCTAAACTTTAGGAATCAATATTCAAACAGATCAAAAATTTTAAGCAGAGAATATATATATATATAAGCCATTATCAACAAGCTATATTTGTAGTCCAAGTCGAAATACTCCTTTACCAAAACCTAACCACCCCAAAAATCCATATAGTAAAGATGGGCAGCTTTCAAGCAAAAACACAAACACCTGGTAGACTAAACTACTCATCGCCCTCAAATCCCCCACCAATTTCACAAATCTTATCCCAAAAACCCTTCTCGACCGGTACAACCGACAATCTAGGCTGTCTAAAAAGCCCAAAACCCTTCAATCCTTCATCTTTCTTCATCTCAGCCAGGTCCACAGCCCTCCTCATCTCACCAACCGCCTTCACATCCACTGCGCCGCCACTGTCATCATCATCTGCATACCACTCACGCGCCACTGATACAACGCCCACAACGCGCCGGGCTTTGGACCCGGAATGGTAGAAGAAACAAAGGTCTCCTATGTTCATGGACTTCATATACTTCTGAGCTTGCTTGTTTTTCACTCCATCCCACTTTGATATGCCGCCGTTTGCTTCTTGGTCATCCCATGACCATTCTCCTGGCTCTGTTTTCAGTAACCAGTACTGTGTTTTTTTCCCCATTTCTAACCTGACCTTTGAGGTTGTATTCCTTTTTATATTACTATTTGTTTGGCGGGAGTTCAATAGATTTGGCGCGAAATATTTTTTCTTTTCTTTTTTATTTTAATTCTATTCTAAAATTTTGGGTGACGTGACTCGTAAGTCCATGAATAACGGGACAGAGAAAATAAAAGAGGGAATTTATGAAATTAGAACACATTTTCTAAAATAATATAGGGCAAAAATATTTACCCTCAAAATAGGATAACAATTGAATTTATACGTGGTTTTAAGGATACGTGATCTAATTTGATACAAAATGAAATGTCAAATTAAGATTGAAATTAATGATAAGAAAAGTAAATGCAAATCACACAAGTTGAACAATCTTGGCCTTGAAGGTTGATCACCCTTGAGTCGAAAATCCTACCATCGATGCCGGAACAGAGTAATGAGATAATAATAACTAGAAATGATAGTTTATTGCTTTGAGATGCGAGTTACAATGTGTTTTACAAATAATCAGACCCTCTTTATATAGTAGGGGGGTCCTACTTTAGGTACAACTCTATATAAGGTAAAAAGTTTCATGATTTGCTAATTAATCGGTTTCATTGATACGTGCCGAGATTCTCGCCGTGATATGCGACCGGTTACGGATATTTCGGTCTTCCGTTATTTTGGTTCGATGATGTTCTCTTGAGCTAATTCGGAGTCAGAGTCAGCTCTGGGGTCACAAACTCGATAATCTTTGAAGGCACATGTTCTAACCTCGTACCTAGGTTCGATGGAATCCAGGGTCGATCTTCAATCCATTATGTTTCATCCCCGGTACGTAATGCAATAGGTGAGCTCGGTTTCTACCGTATACAGATAGTCCCCTCGTTTTTCGGAGAGTAAATGACGAGAAACGATATGAACCTCGGATTCTTACTATACGAGCTTCTGATTCTCACTCTAACAAATGACGACAAATTCATGACGTAAGTGATAAGAATAGTTGAAACGTCCTGTCGGTCCAGTCTTCGAGACATTGAATGTGTGTCAGTTAACGGTCTGCCGCTTCAGGATACGAACCGTCGTTTGAGAAAACTATAAATACCCTTTTCATCCATTCATTGGAACTTTTACATTCAAATATTTGCACTTGTGTTTTAAGAAAACTTCATCACTGTCATCTTCAAACTTCTTTCCTTTTGGTTTTCTGAAAGCTTTCATAAGTTATCTGCTAATTACACCTCCTCTTTTATCAGCATCCTCTTTTCTCCTCTATTTAGAAGCAATGGCAAAGACTTCAAAATCCGTTCCTCAAAAAGAAACTCCCTCTTCCTCGAAACCGACTGAGAACGTTTTGCCTTTTATTACTGATGAACCGACACAGAAACCCCTTCTAAAGATGTTTGTCCCTACGGGGTGTCCAACTGGAGCCGATTTCAAGGTTGTAAAAACCTCCTCGGTATCGGGCCGGTGTGAACCGGTCTCGAGATATATATGTTCCGTCACCGACAGTGTTCTCAACAAGGTCAAGGAGGACTGCAACTGGGTCGGTAAGCACGTATAGGTTCCTACGCCCGAGGAAGCAATCACGACCCACGCGGAGGGTTTTCTAAGTGTTTACACTTATCCCTTACGTTGGGCCCTTTAGACCCGGTCATCATCGCCTTTTGTAAGAGGTACGATGTGACCCTAGGCCAAATTCATCCCTTCTTCTGGAGGATAGTCATCCTCCTCCGCTTTTTTGTAAACAAGATCGAGGGGTGCCCCTTCACCATCGATCACCTCATGCGTCTGTACAGTCCCCGAATCTATCGAGGAGGTCTAATAAAACTTGCCCGTCGGGCCAGTAAGGCCCCGTTCTCGAGCATCGACGAGGATTGGGATCGAGGCTGGTTGGGCCGATTTATTCGAGTGAAGACCTCGGACTTAATCCCGGCCGAGGACATGCCATTTCCTGAGAAATGGAACATGAAGCATAAGTATAACCTTGCCTTTAAGATTTTGTTTATCATTTTTCTTTTTCCCTTCTTCTTATCTATTCTTTATGATGCAGTTGTTGCTTGGATGTCGGATGTAGTTCCTCGACTCAATGAGTGGGTCGAGGGCCTTGTGTGGCAAAAATATTATTTCAAGCGCGCGTGGCATGAGCTTTCGAAAGGCCGATGGGAGGCCCGTTCTCATGGTGAGATTCTTTCTTTAAGTTATGTTCGACTTTACTTCCATACCGTTGATTTCTAACTTGTTTCACTTTCCTTTTGCAGGATTACCAAAAGATGTTGAAATGAGGCCCCCATCCAGTGACGATGACGTCTTCACCGAGCCCCCTCCTCCGAAGCAGGATAAAGATAGAAAATAAAAAAGGCTCCGAGTTCTCCGGGCCCTGAAAAGGACAAACCAAAGAGGCGATTGGTGCGAAAATCCAAGGAAAGCACCAGTTCTCGAGTGCCACCTCCGGATTCACTTTACCAATTAAGAGATGAGTCTGATGGGGAATAAGGGGCCTTTGACCTGATGGATAGCATGCTGCCTCAGTCTGAAGGTCAGGGAGCTTCCGAGCTGGAGGGGGTGAGGTTGTCCCTCATCAAGTTAGAGAAACCGAGGAGGTTGGGGCCGGATCCTCGCGAGCCGTGGGCAACGCCTCAAAGGAGGCACTTGGTGTAATAGAGGTTGACGAGTCGCCCTCATTCACAGAATTGACATTTAACGAGGCGCAAGCTGCTAAAGAATGCTCCACCGAAGGGACTCATGGAATGCATGACCTTTTCTGAGGTATCTTCGATGGCGTGGACTTGACAGCCACGAAAGATGCTACCGGTTTGGGAGACTTAAATATACCAAGGAAAAGCCAATCCCCAGAAGCAAACGGGCCCTCTTCGAGCCCGAGATTGGTCAGTAAATTTCCTGCTCCGAGTGCGTATCCCGATCGGAAACGTACCATTATTTTATCCTTTCCGGAGGATGCTCGGATTATTTCTCCCCCCGTAGGGGAGGCCAGCTATCTTCGGTGCCTGGTGACCAGAGATGATCAAACTAAGATGAACGAGGTGAATGCATCTTACCTTTTTAACAAAGCACAACAGGCGTCGAACCGGGTAACTTCATGCTTCCCTAAGTGAATTTTTTACTTACACTTAGATTTTTTCGCATATGACTTAGCGTTTCTTTTCTTGCTTGTAGGCTTCGGTGGTTCATTTCGAGGCTTTTTTGATGCACTAGGATGACTTGAAACAACTTGAAGCCGAAGTTCGAGAGCTTACAGAAAAGAGAGACGCCTTTAAACTTCTTAGTGAGCAGCTAAAAAGGGAGGCTAAGAACCTCCGTGCTGAGCTGGAGGTTGCTCGAAAGGATCATGCTGACTTGGTTGAGCAGGTAAAAGTTTTTGAAGTAAGTGATGATAAATTTGATTCGGTGACTGATGGTCAAAATATACAGGTCCAGCAAAAACTCGATCGGATTAATCAGCTTCGAACTGAGATGGGTGTAGTCAAAGCTGAGACCGATGAATGGAGAGGCAAGATGGATCATCTAGCCTCGGAAAAAAGGTTGTTCGGGCACAACTAACTTCAGCCGAAATCCAACTAAGAGAGGCAAAGGAAAGGACCAAGATCCAGACAAAAAGGGTCAAGGAGCTTCAATCTCGGCTAGGTTCGGCCGTCTCAGATTGAGAAAATCTGGCAAAGGAGCTTAAAACGGCCAAGTCGGAAGTCGCCTTGGTCGAGGCCGACGCTGATGAAATGGTGGCCCAGTACAAGGCTGATGCCGAAGCGGCTCAAGACCAATAAAAAATATAGTCGAGCATATGAAGTGGCAATCCCGTAGGCAGTCCCTCGAAGAAGTTCACACTGGAGGTTTTGACTTATCTGCGGAGATTGAGGATGCCAAGGTGTTTGAAGCCGAGGCCAGGAAGTTGGCTTATCCCGAGGAGGATGATTCTGAGGGCTCAATTAGGTCTGAGGATGGAGAAGACCTTGGAAATCCCGATGACGAGGTGGACTTCGGCAAAGATTAGGTCGCTTCTGTTCGATTTTATTCCTTTTTGTACTTAATATTGTATGTCAAGACTGCTCGGCCTTTGTAAAGACAATACTTTGTAAATACAACTTTTCTATTTCTTTTTTTTGGTGATTCTCGAGTTATTTCCTTTGATTTTCTTTTTATCTTTTGCAAAGATTGAAATGACTTAGCATTAAGTAGTCATGTCCGGAATCCTAAATAGGCTTGGCTTTTTATTTTGTTATCTCTAAATCATCATGGGACCCGGTATGTCCAAGAACTGTTTCCCTGAAATACTTATTCTTTTTAGAATATGACTTGCCGAGAGTGTGTTTTTTGCAAGCTTTTGTTTTCTCGGGTTTTGTTAACCCAGAACAGCCTTAGCCTTTTGTTTTTTGTGTCATCTTTTTGTTGAGGCCGTTTTTGGCCCTTGTAAAAAGTTTCATCGGGCAGTTCGGCCCTTGTAAAAGAAATTTTTGATTATGAATATAAGGCTTTTCCCTTCAACAACTTTCAAATTTTCTCTTTGCCTTGTTTATTTTTACTTGAAAAGATCTACATGCCTTGCCATAAAACAGTTGGTTTTCATTTAGAGACTAGAAGAAACCTTGCCTTCAATATTTCATTTTAAGGCATCGTAGGGGTTCGGTGTGACCGAAAGTTTTCTTTCCCCAAAGTAGTTAGACTTTTAGTCACAATCTGTCGAGGATAGCCTTTGGAACCGGTTAAGAAAATTTTAAGGCCTTGTTATTTTTATGACGGGCTTCGGACGTCTTCGAGCTGAGTTTATATGGCCGTAGCTTTTATAGTTCGAGTGTTGTCCCGTGTTAATATCATTATCCCGAGTTAACCGGGTTTGCCTAAGATGACAGTCCCCGAGTGGGGGTGACCTTAGCCTATAAAATTCTAGGGTTGCCTAATAGGTCTTATACCCCCAAGGTCTAATAGCTTGGACCGTCCGAGTTTGTTTCCATACGGCAATCCCCGAGTAAGAGAATGATTATTCGAACTCAGGTTAAGGTGGCCCTTGGGCTCGTTTCCTTTAGGGGATCGG